CCCTAAAACCCTAAAGCCCTAAGTCAGAGATTGGCAGGTGCTGCAGCAGATGCACCGAGCGACACTGAAGATGAGGAGGCCCATTTCTTCCCACTGAGAGGAGGGCCACTTGAGGGTTTAGGGTTTAGGGTAGAGGGTTTAGGGTTTAGGGCTTAAGGGTTGAGGGTTGAGGGTTGAGGGTTTAGGGTTTAGGATGAGGGTTCTGCAACGGCTTGGTATCATTCGAAGCTTAGAACGGGGTTCTGTAGGGCATCTATTGGTGTTATGCGGGTATATATTTGGGTTATATAGGGTATATATGGGGGCCATGTAGGGGGGATGTATTGGGGTTATGTAGGCCGATTACGTTCAGAAACTCTCCCTAAACCCTAAACCCCGAACCCTAAACCCTGAACCCTAAACCGAAAACCCTAAACCCTAAACTCTGAACCCTAAACCCTGAACCCTAAACCCTAAACTCTCAGTAATGAAGTGTTTTGGAGGCCGAGGATCGTCTGGAACAGCAGCTGAAGGAGCAGATCGACAAGCGGCGGAAGGAAGATCGCGGTGGCCTGAGAGACCCTTTGAGATAGAAAGGGTTTAGGGTTTAGGGTTTAGGGGTTTAGGGTTTAGGGTTTAGGGTTTAGGGTTTGGGTGAAAGACCCTTTGAGATCTCATGCAAGAACATTACCCTGATTCCTTTGGGGCTATTTGGGGGAGAGATCCCTAACCTCGTCACAAGTAGCATATGCATGCTGGAGTTCTTCAAAGAGTAATCTGTAAGTAGTTCTTAATCACGGCTGCGCTCCCGCAATCGGTTGATGCTCCGAGAGTCCCCAGGATACCCACATGTCAAGACACCTTGAAGGAGTTTAGACCCAAAACCCAAAACCCTATATTATAGGGCTCACAAAGGGTGATACTAGGAGCTCATATGTTAAGAAGCCCCCAGACTCCAAGTCGCAGAGGCAAAGATGCAAAAAAGATGATGGACCGACAGAGGAAGCAGGACCTTTCCAGCAGGGGGCGATGTGAGAGCAATTTTTGGGTAGGGTTTAGGGTTTAGGGTTTAGGGTACAAACTCCCCTAGACCCTCAGCCCTAGATAGCACTTTCCGTTTCATTTCAGTTTGCTTTTCCATTTGATCTCCATTATGGGGCTGATAGCCCCAAACCTAAACCCTAATAGTAGTTTCTATTTTCTTTTTCATTAGCCATACATATGGGTTAGGAGGACCCCCCACCCTGTAATAGTGGTATAATAGGAATATAAGAGGACCCTAATACAATCCCTATTATCCCCTATAGTCACTATTACTGGGTGGGGGGTCCACCTAACATATGGGGTGTAACAAACCTACCTCGCTCCTTTTGTTGAGGCCTCTACCTGGATTGCGTCAGTCCCTCTGGCTAGACATGCAATGCGTAGGAAAAGTCATCGCAGTAGCAACGATCACAATATGATATTATAGCCCCGTTAGGTAGATAGAATATGGGGTATATGGGGATCTTCTTGTCATATGCCCAAGCCATATTCTATCTACTTAAGGGGGACTATACCTCAACCGCTTCTTTTCTGCAAGGACTTGCTGGTGCTCAAAGGGGGTGCTTTCGAAGTGGATCCTTATCATCATTCCCAGACAGTCACCAACAATCGTACCTATATTCCCCCCCCCTGCCAATCTTAAAGCACCAGCAAGCCGTAACACACTAAACCCCAAAGCCCCAAGCCCCTTAACCCTAAGCTCTATACCCTAAAAACCCTATACCCTAAACCCTAAGCCCTAAACCCAAGTAAGAGGAGTGGCGGAAGAAGATGAGCTTGGCCACTGGTCGCGGGGTGCGCCGAGCTTTGCAGATTCCAGGGATGCACCATGAAGTGCCATGAAGTACCATACATAATCTGCTTAAAGGGGGGTTATATAGGGGATTATAAGGTTTAGGGGTTTAGGGTTTAGGGTTTGGGGTTTAGGGTCTAAACTCCCTGAAAAAGGGCTATATAAGAGAAGAAATAAGACATGTCCTGTACCTGTCGACCCCCTAAACTTACAAGGGTTTAGTAGGGAATAATGGAATGTAGGGAGTACATAGGGATTATATTCCCTCATTCCCTACTAACTCCCGGTAAGTAAAGGGCCTTCCATTTTCATGTTGAGAGCCCTTCATGCCCCATAGACCCTAAACCCTAAAAACCCTAAACACTCAACCCTAAACCCTCATGCCAGACCGCCGAAGATCAGTCGGAGCTCTTCCGCGTTACGGATAAGTCCGTGCAGGCCAAGACGGGTTGAGAGCCTGTAGGGTATTGGGCTTAGGGTTGAAGTGTTTAGGGTTTAGGGTGTTTCGTGCAGAAGCTAGGATTGGAGTTTAGGGTGTTTCGAATTACTAGTATTGCCATTTCTATTACTATTCGTATTCTTATTGTTGTGTTTTTTTTTATTCCTACAATCATTCTGACTTGGGTACTGCGCCCACTCATTAACAGTTGGACAATATTCCTATCATAAGTATATATAGCCCTTAATATGACTCCTATTATAGACTGTTAATGGGTGGGGGCAGGACCCCAATTCTGACCATTAGTTTATTGAATTAAGCCTAATTCTCCCTAAGTAGCCTTAATCAAGGGGGAACCTAGGGTGGGGTAGTATAGAGGGGGGTACCAGTTGAACCCATTAGTTTAAGTCAACGTTTGATGGACTTGATGGAGAGGCCCTGGAGGATGACGGCGCCATCCCCAAGGAGCTGGTCAGCGAGGAGGCCAGGTGTCCTGAATCAACCCTACACCCTAAATCCCACATCCTTAGGATTTAGGGTTTAGAGTTTAGTTTGGGGTTTAGGATTTAGGGTTTAGGGTTTAGGGTTTAGGGTTTTAGACCCTGAATCCTACATCCTAAACGCTAGACCCTACATCCTGAACCCCTAAACCCTAAACCCTTGGACCCCGAAAACCTAAACCTTAAACCCTACCTTTTTAAGATCCCAAGTTGTAAGCATTGTCTCAATGTGTCGAGGTGCCACTTCGGGCATACATTGATTTTTCGATCAGTGGGAGGAGGTATTAGTATACTCGTGATCGCGGAAGTGGTAGATTTTGTTGCAAGCACCTTTGATATGGTCATGATGAGTACAGGATTCGAGGCATTTGTACTATCATCACCTGCAATGAGCATGAATCTTATCGTTCTTCCATGAAGAGCCAGGAGGCTGGAGAACACTTTCACGAGGGGTTTTGTCAGTACAGAAGATCGGCCATCAGGGAAGATTGTAATTCCAAGGTTGTACCATATAGGCTGACATGCAGCTGGATGTTACTATGCTGCAGGGGGTGTTTGGCATTCGAGGTCGCGGGCTTTTTCTTTCGGTTTCGGATCGTAACCATCACGATGCCGTTGAGAAGATTTTGTTAAGAGTCGTGCCATAAGGAATAACATGAGGCAACAAGTAAGTGGTTTGAAGCCTAGGATCAGCACCTTGTTGATGCAAATGGCAACAGGTCAGGAGCAATGATGCGAGCACTAAAGCTGATGACAGCCATAGCATCAGAAATCCCTAGCCAAAAGGTTATAATCATCATTGCCTAAGCTAGTACTTCTAAGGATTTGACGCGTTGTGAACCCAAACCCCAAATCCTGAGCGCTGCGCCCTAAACTCTAAACCAAAACCCTTACATCCTAAACCTTAAACCCTGAATCTTTCACCCTAAGCCCTACACCCTGAACCCTAAACCTTAAACCCTAAACCCTTAAACCCTAAACCTCTAAACCCTAAACCCCTAAACCCCTAAGCTCCTAAACCCTAAACCCTAAACCCCTAAACCCCTAAACCCTAAACCCCTAAATCCCTAAGCTCCTAAACCCTGTTCCATGTCAGTCTTTGCCAGGAACTCTCAGATGCTCCCGAGGAAGCTGCCGAGAGCAGTGAGTCCGAGGATGAAGATCAGCCTGGGCCTGGGTTTCATGGGTTCAAGTAGTACCCCCCCTCATTACTACCCTTTCTAGGTTCCCCCTCTATTAACCTTAATTTAGCCTAATTATCCCTAAATGGCCTTAATTAAGGGGGGAACCTAGGGGGGGTAGTATAGAGGGGGGGTACTAGTTGAACCCATAATTCTTGCTGTGCTGTGAGTTTGGGGGTTTAAGGTTTGGGGGTTTAGGGGTTTAGGGTTTTAGGGCTTAGGGCTTAGGGTTTAGGGCTTTTAGGGTTTAGGGTTTGGGGTTTAGAGTTTAGAGAGTTGCGTTTAGGGCTTAGGGTCTACAGGTTGGGTTATGTAGGGGTTACATACACCCAATAATGGGAATCAAATGGAAAAGATAACGGGAAATTACATGGACACTGGGATTATAGGGTTTGATTGGGGTAACATGAGGGATATGTTGGGCATATATTGGGATTATGGAAAAGAAAATGGAAACTAGTGTAATAGGGTATATAGTGGGGTGACATATAGGGATAATGGAGAAGAAAATGGAAACTACTTTGTGGGATGCCGAAGATCGTCACTTCAGTCATTGCTTGATTTAACGCGTGCTAGCATCACCGAGTGGACATCCGCTCTTGCGGTTCTAGATTTAGGGTTTGGGGTTTCGGGATTCATACTTAAGTACCTAGTAGTACTGCAATTAGCATTTAACTGTTATTATCACAGATGGTGTGACGTGTTTTTGCTTGTAAACACAACAGTTGTTGCTTTTCAGCGCGCAGGGTGAAACTGAGAATAGCGAGCATTGTGATTCCGAGTGTAGTGATGAAGGCTCAAAGTATGATCCTGGACAGTCCAACCCTAAACCCTAAACCCTTAGTAGAACTCCCAGAACTGTTTACGATCCGAATAGAGGCACTCTTCCTGCAGCTGTTCCGGATCCTCAGTAGTTTTGGCTATGATAAAACACTAGACTGTGGTTTAGGGTTTAGGGTTGAGGGTTGCTCCTGCTTCAAACCCTGTATATAATACTTGTAAAAATATCAGTAATAATAATCATAAGACTAGTAGTAACAGCAATACTAGTTGTAATCCAGTAATGTAGACCCATAATTAATAAACCCCCTCATTTCCGAAGGCCTTAATGTTAGGATCCCGATTATAATCCCCATGAAGGGGAGGGGGTTTATTAATCAGGGGTCTACATTAATACTCGTATGAGAGTTTGCATCTTGCTTGCAGGATGGACCGGCTCGCCCGCATGGAGGTGGATCTAGCGGAGAGCTCATATACCGCTCCTCTTCTGTGGGGGACATGAGAGGTTTAGGGTTTATAGGGTTTAGGGTTTAGAACTTAGGGATACCATCTTGCGGGTCCCCATGATGACGGTTTATAGTATTTGGGGTCTACATTGGGGTCCTCACTTGAAGGAGAGGTTTTAGGACCAGGGAGTCCACTTTGATGATTGCCCACCCCTTACCCAAAACGGGGTTACCCTGCAGGGCCTTAGATTAAGTTACCATAATATGGGTACATAGTAGATAAGGGGGTTATAGTAAGTTAATGTACGTTCTTTAGCAGCAACCTAGTAATTCTTCTCGCCTTTAGCTCAAGCTCTTGACTCCAGGCTCCGGCCTCCAATCCCTCAGACCACTTCACCCAGACATCCCCCTGAGAATAAAAGCCCCCCCAAACCATAGAATCTCCGAAGATGTTGTAGAATACCGATACCATACTGGGAGTATTGATTATTGTTAGGATTCTTGGGGGTGGGTTAAACCCTAAACCTTAAACCCGAAACCCTAAACCCCAAACGCTAAACCCTATACCCTAAACCCTAAACTCTATACCCTACAGTAAATCCTATACCTCAAACCCTAAACTCCCTAAGACGCCTCAACACCCTCCCAAAGCACCCAGGCCTTGGATCATGAGCTCCGAAAGGCGGAACTCTTCCACAAGTTTGGGACTTAGAAGTGCTCTGCAGACTACTGTAGTAATAGGGGAATAGGGGTATAATATAGGGTTTAGGGTTCAGGGTTTAGGGTGGATGATATAGGGATTGTGGAAAAGAAAATGGAAACTACTGCAGTAACAGGGGGTATTATTGGTGTTATATAGGGATAAGTAGGTGATGTCAATGCACCCACGAACGTAGGACCGTTATATATTATTTGACGGGTCTCCTTGCCTGTCTAAAATTCTAAGGATTTTAAAAAATTGCGGGCCTTGTCAAGGTTTTAAGAAACCTTTGCTTTTTTAGAAAGCTGATCCTTCTAGAATTCAAAGGCATTCCAAAACTTTAAACAGCACGATAATTTTTTGAAATCCTTAAAATCTTTAAATTATGAGAAACTAGCTTTTTCAACATGTTAAGGATTTCAAGGATTTGAAAGAATTTAAAGGCTTTCTAAAATTCTAAGAAACCAAGAAAAGTTAAGTCATTTTTGGCGAAGGCCAGGTTTTTTAAATCATGTAAAACCTTTGAAGTCCTTGATTTCTGAAATCCTAAGAAATCCGCTTTTCAAAATTTTAGATATTTTAAGGGTTTTGAAGAATTTAAAGGCTTTCTAAAATTTTAAGAAACCAAGAGGAATTAACGTATTTTTGGCGAGGGCCAGTCTTTAAAATCTGTAAAATCCTTAATTTCGAAAAGCGGGTTTCATAGAATTTTACGAATCTTAAGGATTTTAGAGATTGTAAAAACTAAAAAAATTGGCCTTCGCCAAACATGATTTAATCTTTTAAAGATGTTGCGCATTTTAAGGGCTGTTTAAATTTTAGGGAGCCCGTAAAATCCGTAAAAACTTTAAAATTCTAAGAAATCCGCTTTTCAAAAAAATTGGCCTTCGCCAAAAATGATTTAACCTTTCAAAGATGTTAAAGATTTTAATGAGCTTTTAAAAGATAAACAAATCTGGCCTCCGCTATTTTTTTTAGTTGTTCTTGGTTTCTTAAAATTTTGGAAAGTCTTGAAATTCTTTAAAGTCTTTAAGATTTTGAACGTCAACATTTACAGTGTTTCAAAGCTAGTTTCTTGAAATTTTGAAAAGGCCGCTCCCCTACCGCACCCCCACCCCTACCCTCCCATCTTTTCACATATTAATATCATGAAATATCCATGCCACCCTGCGTTATTCCAAAAAGGAATAGGAAGGGGTGGTTCGATAGCACCAAATTTGATGAAGCATGTCCTTGTAGAAAAATTTGTGTTAGCGAATCACTATGATCTGGTTGTATCAACAAAGGGGCGGTTCGGTAGCACCAGATTTTCTACAAAGACATATTTCAGGAAATTTGGTGTTATCGAACCGCCCCTCCTTTTCTTTTATTTGAATAACATAAAGGGTACCGTAGACAGACCACAATATCAAAAAAACGCTTCAGAAAATCTGGTGCTATCGAAACGCCTTTTTTTGAGCATACATCACAACAAAACAGTGCTTTGCATAGTTTAATGGAGTAAACGAAGAGAATCGTCAAATAACAACACATAAAGGTCCTTGCCACATAGGGATAATGAAAAGGAAAAGGAGACGGCTTGTAGAAACGCTGCGGATACGAGTTCATAGAGTTCATTAACATGATTTAGGGATAGCTAGGCCTAATTCAGGTTCATTGAGGGGGAACCTAAGGGGGGAGTAAGGGGGGTACAGTAGCAGGGGGACCCAATGAAGAGTAGAAGGAATGAAAGGATGCCAGCTGCAAGCGAATAATAGGTGACAAGGGTGCTTTTCTACACTTTCCCGCTAATGATTAGGAACAAGGATCCGTCACAATCTATATACATCTCCAGGGTTGTTGGAGGCCCCTGTTTTTGAAACAACCCCTAAACCCCTAAACCCTAAACCTCTAAACCCTAAACCCCTAAACCCTGGGCGGCTTCATCAGCCAATGGCTGGCCAAGGCATCGAAACTCCACGCAACGGGTCGCCAAGAAGAAGAAGGTGACAAGTAGTAATCAAAATGCGAGTCAGAGTGGTTTAGGGGTTTAGGGGTTTAGGGTTTAGGGTGGTAGTAGTAATAATGGTAGTAATAGTAATAGCAGTAATTGCATTCGGGATTTAGGTTATTATTGTTGAGCCATATTTTGCTCTCACATGCTGAAGAAGGATGCCCTTTCTGTGTTCGACCCAGGGTTTAGGGTTTAGGGTTTGCACTGCAACATGACTTTACTTGAACTTTTTTTGGAAGAAGAATGCAACAGTTTTAAACGATCATCTGCGCCCCCCCCCCAGTCTACCCCTACTGTTTTTTGCAGGAGACACGCAGGCAGCGCGTGATGCAGGTGGGATCCTTGTTGTGTGTAGCTTGTAGGTATTCAAGGAATATGTGGAACCCAAAGCCCTAAGCCGCTTTAGGGTTCCCTTTTAGGGGGGAATATGGCTTCAGGGTTTCCTTATAGGGTGGATTACGTAGGGGTTAGGGTGTCTATGAGGGTTCTTACAGGGGGTGATTTCCTTCACTCCATCCCAGAGGCGGGCGGCAAACCGTGTCGGTGGTTCGCCGGAAGCATATGCAGCATCCACAGGTTTCAAGCCGGATTTCCCTAAACCTTAAACACCCTAAACCCTAAACCCTAAACCTTAAACCCCAGACCAAAAAAAACCTTAAACCCTCAACCCTCAACCGCATATGCAGCACATACAAGGTTCAAATTGGATTTCTTTAAAGCTTGAGGCCCTTGCAGGCGCCGAGGAGATAAAAAAGGGTTTAAGCGACAAATGCTCTAATTCTCTGACCCCTCATCCCTAGCCTGACTCATCCCGAAAACCCTATATACAGGGGTAATATTAGGGCTATATTGGGGTAATCTTTGGGATAATGGAAAAGAAAATGGAAACTACTATTTAGGGTGTAGGGTCCCAAGCCCTAAACCCTAAACCCTAAACCCCAAACCCTAAACCCTAAATATTTCCCTGAACTCCTTGGCACATGGAAGTTCCTCAACAATCCCAAGCAGGGATGCTCCTAGTCCCTCATCTTTCGAGCTCCTTGGGCTCCCGAAACGCAGGTTTAGGGTGTGGGGTTTGGGGTTTAGGGTTTGGGGTTTAGGGTTTAGGGTTTGGGGGTTAGGGTTAAGGGGTTTAG